GGATCTGGGTGTTCTGGTATCGGTATCGATGCGTGAGTTCAGATCTCAGTTCGTACAAATACTTTTCGTTCTTAGGACTCATGGTTATATTTCACAGAAGGAACATAGTCAAAAGCGGCGTACGAATGATATTCATTTATAAAATGTGAGTGATGTGAGTCCTTTCATGGTTATTAGTTTTCTTTAAGTGTGATGTGCTTTACCTGTGCGCGCAAGCTCGCTCGCTGGTAGGAGGTTACGAAGTTGCAGCACGAAGAGTGATGGAGAAAAGAAGAGTGATATCGTCAAAGGAGCCAAGCAGCTGAGGTTTATGATTTTTGTGATTGAACTGTTTCATCGACTATGCCGTTCGTAAGAAAATGCAGGTAAGTGAAGGATATGATTATTTATTGCTTCATAAATGTGGATGAAATAATAACGAGTAAAGTGCTCTGCGTTCGAAAAAAAGGGATCCAATAAATTTATTTTATTTTTTTTCTTTTTGATAATAAGAAGGTAACGAACAAAAACAAGGACAACAAGACGACCCAAAATGAAGAAATCTTAAACTCAAAGTGAACAATTTCTGTATCACCAGGCGAACTGTAGGGTTTATGTATAAGAGCGGTTATGATGTAAAAATTAAAATTATCGAAAGTTCTCCAAATAATTAAGACCTATCAAAGAGATAAAAAAGTAGTAAGATCATGTAACAAGCAAAAATTATGTTTGACAGCCATATCTTGAAAAAATAAAAATAAATTTCAATAGATCTTATTTTATTTATTTCGTTTACCGTAACGGTCTCTAGCACCTGGCTTCTTAAATGACCCCCTGGCTAGTTGCTCCTCATTTAAATTATCTTCATCACTTTCCTCCTCGCTCTCTTCTTCGTCTTCATCATCTTCTGATTCAGATTCATTACTCGGTAGAACGTCATCCCCCGAAGTTGCATGGTCTTCATCTTCAGCGATACCGGTGTCAGCTACAAAAATTACCTTTATAAAGGAAATTTAAAGCAAATCAGTCTTAACGTTTAGATTACGAAGCGAGTTTCTGGTTTCTTCTGATCGACCTAGTGCGATAAATTATCTGCACCTGTTACTGAGCGAATAAAAACAGAAAAATTTCGAAATTATGTAAATTTATGGTAAATGAATGTATTAACAGCAAGCAAATATCGATATATATAT